TTTCTGAACTACATTCGATTTGATTATATTTCTGGATATGTAGGCAGTCCAGCATCTACACTGGGCACAATCGCATTCCTAAATAAATTTCAAAATTTTCAAACTACGTTCGACTTGATTCTATTTCTGGATACATAGGCAGTCCAGCATCTACACTGGGCATAGTCACATTCCTAAATAAATTTCAAAACTTCCGAACTACGTTCGACTTTATTCTATTTCTGGATACGTAGGAAGTCCAGCATTTTCACTAGGCACAGTCGCATTTCTAAATAAATTCCAAAACTTCTGAACTACGTTCGATTTGATTCCCTTTCGGGTATGCAGTCAGTCTAGTTAAACTAGGTACAGTCACAAGTTCAAATCAACTTCAAATAAATTCTAAATTCTTCTCATGAACTACGGTTGACTTGATTCGCTTTCGGATACGTAGGCAGTCTAGTTAAACTAGGCACAGTCGAAAGTTTAAATCAACTTCAAATAAATTCTAATTTCTATCTCATGAACTACAACTGAATTGATTCCTTTTCGGATACATAGATAGTCTAGTTAAACTATGCGCAGTCACAATTCCTCCGCTATCAAGTGATCTTTAAACCCATATCAATTCAAATGGTCATTTACCCATTTCAAACATAATAGATATTTTGTCCATTCAAGATCAATGGGTCATCTACCTGTCGATCTTACCCAAAAATATTAATAATAATTGAATCTCCCCGAACTACAAATTAGTTTGATCCCAATAACGGGTACGTAGAGTAGCCTAAGCAATTAACCTAGATCCAGCCACCATCACAAATAAAATGCCCTTGTAGTGTAAATGGTAACGTGTGATAATTTCTCGTCAGAATCAAAGGGTGTTCTCTTGAAGCAAGATATTATAATTAACGGATATATATTATCTGGAATGAGTCTAACCTACATTTAATAAAACTCGTATAATTCTTTGTTATATGAGTGAAGTCATGTTTGATAAAATATCCAAATTTTTGCCCAACATAACCCAAAGCAGTGGCATGAATTATTGTCAAATATTTTGTGGGCATATAGAACTTCAAAGAAGTCTAACATAGGAACAAAACCATTCGAATTGGTGTATGGGTATGATGATGTGATACCTATGAAGATAATAGTAAAATCAAAAAGAGGGTTAAAGCACTAGGTTATGTCAACGGAAACATTTTCTCAAGCCATGTTCCTTGAATTGGAGGACATGGAGGAGAGTTGACCGGAAGCATTGAACCACATCCAAATATAGAAAAAAAAAGATAGAAAGGACTTATAATAAAACAGTTAAGTCTAATAAGAAGGAGATAGTGTGCAAAGTCATTTTGCCTTTGGGAAGTAAAGACAAAAAATATGGTAAGTGGCCTCCTAGTTGCGAGGGGCCGTTCAAAGTAGAAAAAATATTAAGAGGTGAAGCCTACCACTTACCGTCTTTAGAGGGAGATTGGCATAAGAAACCCATTAATGGAAGATTTTTAAAAAGATATTATCCAATCAAGTGAGATTCTTATAACATTAATTATTTAAAAAAATAGAATTGCAAAAGAAATAAAAGGAAATTGAAAGCATATATTTCTAAGAAGTCGCTTACAAAGTAAAAGGCCGCAAGGTTTGGTCATTCTATAGAATATAGACAAAATTAAATGGGCCAGAGGAAGTCTCTACATCAGGAGAAGGTTTAGTAGTGGCAACTCTCTTTTGGAGAGTTGAGGAGGAGGTTGAGTCAATTTCAGATGCTATCACCTCACCAGTTATCTGTGGGGATGGCATGGAAGAGGAACTCCCTGGTTCTTTTGATTGATGTTTTTTTTCTAGATGGAATTTTCCCAGTGGCAAGATCATTTAAAGGGTCATTCATAGGAGACCTTTAGTTGTAAAAGAGAAACTAGAAGGGAAAAGCATAGAAGTTGTTGCTTTGAGTTCATCTAGCAAGCATATAGGCAAGAAACATAGATCATTGGGTTTTTGATTGAAAAAACTTAACACACACACACACACACACACACACACATATATATGATAACTATCTGAATGGTCATTAAATACTATGGAGGAAGTGTGTTGCCACCAATTAGCAAACAAATGAGAGACTGATGGTACCCCATACAGGCGCTTGAAGTTCTTTATAAAGTTTGGCTTACAGAAGAAAGAGACATGGTTGGAATACCAAGATGTGATGTTGGTTTTAAGGTTGCAGTTACCTCAATACCAATCGATGGGAGCCTTGTTAGGTGCACACCGTCAAGGATGGAAGGAGACATCAGGCCAGGAAGAAGGAGCATGGCATTACAAGATTTTGACCAGAAACAAAGTGTTGCTTCTATGAGTCAATGATTCATGTAAAAAGGGCAAGTACAGTGTTTGATCTGTTCATAGATCCTTTGTTCTTTCCATTGGTCAGAGAAATACGCTTCCATTCGTGTCACCCTGTCAAACCATTGTTGGTCTAGGTCAACCCAAGTTTTCAAATGGGTACTGGAGGTGGGAACAATGAAGCGGTAAGACTTCTCCATAAGAAATATGGTAGCATTCAGACAATGTCGGGAGCATGGTGGATTTGAAAGCTGGANATGTTGGTTTTAAGGTTGCAGTTACCTCAATACCAATCGATGGGAGCCTTGTTAGGTGCACACCGTCAAGGATGGAAGGAGACATCAGGCCAGGAAGAAGGAGCATGGCATTACAAGATTTTGACCAGAAACAAAGTGTTGCTTCTATGAGTCAATGATTCATGTAAAAAGGGCAAGTACAGAGTTTGATCTGTTCATAGATCCTTTGTTCTTTCCATTGGTCAGAGAAATACGCTTCCATTCGTGTCGCCCTGTCAAACCATTGTTGGTCTAGGTCAACCCAAGTTTTCAAAGGGGTACTGGAGGTGGGAACAATGAAGCGGTAAGACTTCTCCAGAAGAAATATGGTAGCATTCAGACAATGTCGGGAGCATGGTGGATTTGAAAGCTGGACCTAAAACAAAGTTGGCCCCAGGATCTTTAGAAAGGATAAGGATTTGATCATCGATTAGATCCTGAACGGCGTATCTAAGGTTCATAGAGAACCGAAGAGCATGAGGCATGCTTAGAGGAGAACAAAGTCAATGAGAGGTCTAAAATTGAGAACAAGCCAAGAAAGATTAGAAAAAGTTAGGTAAAGAGGAATAATATGGATAAGGACTTCCACGGTGTCCGAACTCTTTAAATAGGTGNGTTAAAGAGGAACAATATGGATAAGGACTTCCACGGTGTCCGAACTCTTTAAATAGGTGCGTTGAGGGTTTTTTAGTGATTATTGACTATTCATTTACTTATTTGAAATGAACAAATTAACTGTTGAAAGATGTCTTAAGTAGACAATGAAAANGGTAAAGAGGAATAATATGGATAAGGACTTCCACGGTGTCCGAACTCTTTAAATAGGTGTGTTGAGGGTTTTTTAGTGATTATTGACTATTCATTTACTTATTTGAAATGAACAAATTAACTGTTGAAAGATGTCTTAAGTAGACAATGAAAAAGACAACGGACGTGATGATTCATTTACTTAATCAAGCCAATTAAATGAGGGGGCATTTTTTAGACTTAAAATATAAAATTGTAAACGTTCGATGCATGTGTCGTTGGAAAGTCTAAAATCATTAAAAAATTGCTATGTATCAAGATTTGAAGAAAATGCGGGAAACGATCAACCACAACTTTGGTTTGAAAGAAGGAATAATTGTTTGAGAGTTACAAAGTCAATCAATAGTTAATAAAGGAAAACTGTCGAAGGAAGTGACTATAAAAGGAGAAAAAGAAGGAAATTANTCGTTGGAAAGTCTAAAATCATTAAAAAATTGCTATATATCAAGATTTGAAGAAAATGCGGGAAACGATCAACCACAACTTTGGTTTGAAAGAAGGAATAATTGTTTGAAAGTTACAAAGTCAATCAATAGTCAATAAAGGAAAACTGTCGAAGGAAGTGACTATAAAAGGAGAAAAAGAAGGAAATTATAAAACAACTTAAATCTCCCACAAAACCCATGATTAGGGCATTAATGAGTAGTGTTAAAGTTGGTTTTAAAAAATAGTTAGTTCTATACTCAAATGCTATTAAATCAGTCATTTTGTAATCGAAATCCAATCGATTGAAATAATTAAAAAATCTACTTTTATTGTTTCATCGTTCTGCGTGTTCATCGTTTTAACAATTCATCCAAAAAATTTTGAAAGAGAACATTTCAACTTATTCACAAATAATCTCCTGAGAATAGTCTGTCAATTAANATCCAATCGATTGAAATAATAAAAAAATCTACTTTTATTGTTTCATCGTTCTGCGTGTTCATCGCTTTAACAATTCATCCAAAAAAAATTTGAAAGAGAACATTTCAACTTATTCACAAATAATCTCCTGAGAATAGTCTGTCAATTAAAGTATCTCTATTGATTGCAACAGATTTTAGAGCAATAAATAATAATATTGCTGAATAAATGATTAAATGTTGAAATAGTAAATAGTGATATTATGATATGTAAATTCCACAATGTAATTAGTGCTCTTCTATTTTGTATGTACTCTAATTTGACGCTCTTCTATTTAAAATATCTTTTAATTATCATTTTTTTAAGGCAGTCGTGCACAGGNTAGTGATATTATGATATGTAAATTCCACAATGTAATTAGTGCTCTTCTATTTTGTATGTACTCTAATTTGACACTCTTCTATTTAAAATATCTTTTAATTATCATTTTTTTAAGGCAGTCGTGCACAGGTACTTTCTAATAATTAATAGAAGGCCATCAGGGCCTGTTATTTATAAGGCTCAAAACAACAAAAAGAAATAACTTGGCGCTTTTTATGCCGAAGCAATCTTCTCAGACCTTTGTCTTGACTCAAACAAGATGGTCTCCCGCCTGTTGTACTTCNGGTACTTTCTAATAATTAATAGAAGGCCATCAGGGCCTGTTATTTATAAGGCTCAAAACAACAAAAAGAAATAACTTGGCGCTTTTTATGCCGAAGCAATCTTCTCAGACCTTTGTCTTGACTCAAACAAGATGGTCTCCCGCCTGTTGTACTTCACCCTCCTTGCCTCTTCTCTAGGAATTTGGTATGCATTGGCAACCACGTCGACCGGCAATCCCCGCATCACCGATGTCCGGCCGCTGAGAGTATTGATCATGGCATTGTCATTAGTCTTGAAGGCCACCCACTCAAGCCCTTGGTTTCCAGCTTCTTTCACTATTACGAAGTTCTGTGGTACTACCACAATCTGTCCCTCTCGGAGCTCCTCATTAAACACTGTTTGCCCTCTGTGGTCAACAATTTGAGCCCTACCATCACCCCTTGTCACGTACATCACACTATGTGCGTTCAAGTTCGAGTGGGGTGCCATGATAGCGTTCTGCACACACGTATCACATTCCAGTCATATCATTTTCAATTCATAGCTCAATATTCATGGTAAATAGGAATGGCTCGTATTTTTTTTGAATTCGTATTAAAATGAACACCTAAAATTGCAAAGAGATTGGATTTCGGAATGGGCTAATATCCTTACCTTGTAGAGAACTCCCCTCCCAGCACTAAGTTGGAGGAATTTGAGAACGGGCATTGTGAGGCTGTTGAGGGTGCTAAGGCGACCTGCTCGTGGATTGTATATATCGGCACGAGAGGGATTTTCTAGGTTCTCTTGGAGCCTTGTGCTGCAGATAGTCTCGTCCAAGCCATTTCCACGCTCTCCCCGTTCTTGTTCTTCCCTGCTCAATGGTGGCTGGACTACTGAAAGCCCTCGCTCAGCTCTTACAATGTGGCCTCTCTGGTCGTCTTCACCTCGAAGCTTTTGTGCTGTCTCTGTGTCCACTCTAAATGCCTCCGCCAATGTCTGAACATCAATGCCGCGGAAAATGTTGCCAAAACCCCCTTCTTGGCCACTGTGACGACCGTGTTGTTGTTGTTGTTGTTTTTGTTCTCGATCTGGGTTTCCGGCAATAAAGAATCTCTGCAGCATCAAAAAAACTTGGTGCATGTCAAACCAAGTACTAACAACACTAAAACCACCACCAAGGATCTAAAGTGTATTTAGACTATCAAGCAACAATTTAGTTTAGGTAAAATCAGATAATAATGAGTAGTTTTACAATAGGATCACGATCAAGCTGGTTGGCATTGTTGCCGGTGTCAAGCAAAACAACGGCAATAAGATCTCTTTCACCGTCATTGTACACCCAATGTGCTGCCCCAGCTGGGTATGCCACAAAGTCGCCCTGTTGAAGGTGTCTGATTCTCTGATGGCGGTCCTGGAAACTCTGGCCTTCTCGTTCTGCTCGTTCTTGCTGAGATTGCTGGGATGATTGGAAGGTTTCGGGACAACCAGGCAGCATAACCCCATGAATACCCCGACCTGTACAATACAAGTCATATGAACATCAAAGTTTCAATGACACTACATAGTTATATAAGTTCAACCCATCAAAAAGCAGAATTGCCTGAAATCACACCTTCGACAATGTAGACAAGTAAGGGTGAGTTGGTGTAAGAGGGCAAAAGAAGGCCTTTGGGTTGGATAGTATGGCGAATAACCGACACCCCAGCACACTGGAGTTGCTCATTCCTCGAGTCCCACAACTCGGTTACGCCGGCTTCTGCTTGGACATATTCTCTGGGTTCGAGGGCGGTGAGTCTCTGGATTTGGCACTCACTTTGCTGCTGCTGTCCTCGTTGCCGAGCAATGCAGCCATGGAAGAGCAGAAGAAAACTCAGAAACAGAGAGAACAAGGAAGCTGGCTTAGCCATTGTAATAACACCTGATAGAGTGAAGAGGAAGACTGGTTGTGGAATGTGGTGAAGTGGTGAGTGGAAAGTGTGTGCATTTATAGNGAAAGCTGGCCTATCCATTGTGACACTTGAGAGAGTGAAGATGAATATTGGTTCTGGGATGTGGTGAAGTGGCGAGTGGGAAGTGTGGGCATTTATAGATAGGATGGGTGGGTCAGGGCTTGACACATATAAGAGAATTGGTGAAGAATGTGCCTGCCATCTTGCACTTTGCATGGCTACTAGATGCTAACATCTTACACCTAATAGTTACTGGTAAGATAGGTGGCCTCATCTTTCTGAGAAGAAAACAAGCAGGTCTGTTGGTATCTGAGATCCTTTGAGGTGGTTTTTGAGTGGGTTTTAGATGCGTCACGACAGATCAACTGGGTCTTTATCAAAGTATCTGTTGAAGTGGACTTTATACTGCAAAAATAATATTATAGGATAAAAATGTATACATCTAATTTTTTTCAAATCTTACAATGGCGGGATGCATACATCTAACTCTCCCCAAACCCTACAATAAAGTGCACCGGATACGCACCCAATTGGCGGTCAGTATCTTACCTAAAGTTAGAGCAAGGGTGATATTAATATTATGGTTTAATATGGTGCTGAGTGAACCACAATATTATTTTTTTTTTAATATGATTTCAAAAAATAATGTTTTGATTTCCTAGTCTTCCAAGAATTATAAGGTACCATGCATATACAGACGCGTGGCACATGCAGGTGGCACTTGTAGCAGGTGGTTTTTCATCAGAACTTCGGTATTTCTTTGGTGCTTCATTGTTTTTATTGGCAATTTGTACCAAGGGAAACAATCAATAATGAGAGGTAGAAGTGTGAAACCATTACCAATCCTAGTTTAAGCTTAAATTTGAAATACATTTAATCATGCTCTTCCGGTCTTGTATAGCACTAGAATTCAATCTAAACCATAATAGCGAATAGCATTTGTATATCTGAAGATCAGTTGGCTTTGGGTAATGAACGCCCAAAATGATTTCATTCAATAATAAGATTTTATTAAAAATTAAACGACAATAATAGATTTAACCAATAAATATAATCCAACCAACATTACTCGTACCCATAAGACCACGCCAACCAACCAACAGTTGGACAGCCCTCTATATATTTGGCTTTGTTTTTTTTCTGTTTTTTTGGTTCAATGGTCACGGAGTTTTAGCTAGTTTACACGTATTTTGATTAATTTTCTCCTGATCTGGTCAAAATCAGGTGATCCATGCTGGGATTAGAGTATTCGGGAGGAATAAATCTCTCGTGGTCTAGTCTTAAAAAATTATCAAAATTCAAATTTATAACGGTTAGATTTACAGCTTGACTATGTTACCACCTGAACTACCTATTAAAATTTTTTTAAAAAATTTTTTGATGGAAACTGTCTTCATCAAACTTGTTTTTACCATTTTATTCCCTGCTTATATTGGATTAGCGATGAGTCCCGATAGTAGATGGTATCCACGCCAAAGTAGGGAAGTAAATTATGTGCAAACAATACTATTAGTGGTTAAATTGGTGGAGAAGATATGAGGAGAACTCAACAACTTGAATATAACAGTATGAGAGAAAATCTATACAATGTGTCCACATGTCTTTGTTATATAATAATGATCATCTCTTGTCATCTGCTCGAGAAGTTGTACAAGGGTACAGTGGGTTTACTTTTATATCTCATGAAAACCCTTTTCTTCTTAAACGTTCTATTCACAATGGTTATCACTATCTTCCCAGGTTCTCTTATGTGAAATGAATTTCTGACAGTCTCTCCCATTTTCTTTTCATTGTGAAGCAAGATCTTGTATGAACAATCGTCGTCGGGGACAAATTCATCCTTGTAACTCACCTCATATCCGACCACTGTCACGTCCCAAACCACTGTCACGCCCACCTAATAAGTTCAAACAAACGAAGAATCATGGAAACTATAGGCGTAGCAAACCCGAATTAAGAAATGGAAAAAAAGATATATTCTAAGGTTAAATTTAGTATAAACTTTGTAGAAATCGAAGTATGAATACATTTACCTCAGCCATAGGAATTTGAATGTTTTCAATTCCACCTCCTTTGACATTGAACTCTAAAACTTTGTCATCTGGAGAAAAGTCAACATCGTTCTCAATTTTGAGACCACCATATTGGACTGGTATGTTTTCTGGAGATATATACCTGTTTAAGCAATTTCCAATAAATTATATATAATTTGATGATACTCACAATAATTTCCAAATATGAGCTCAAGCATGGAAGTCAGATCAAGAGGTCAGGGAAGACACGCAGAGCTCAAAGAATCAGAGTTAGAGCACCCCCAGACGCGACAACAGCGAAAATGATAAGGGAATAGTTGGATGACAACAAAAATCTTATAGGTGGCAAAGAGTCATATTCAAGGCACAAAATTCTTAACCAGTCAAAATCCTCTCTTAAGATCAAGGAGAGTTCCTCGGATAAATGGCAAGGATCTCAATGTAAATCCCGTAAAACTAGGGACAACCCTATAAATATTATGTAACGTCTCCAAGAGAGGGGGACCGGAGGAACATACAATCGGTCTTGTAAACCTTTCAGATAATCTATAAAGAAAAAAGAAGCAAGAGTCTCCATTGAAGAGTGGATTAGTCAAACTCTCGAGCTGGTGAACCACTATATTTTCCTTGTGTAAATCTCTCAATATCCCCTCAATACCAATCCTTGTTCTTTCGAGCCTTGCAGCTCAGATCCTAATAGTCACATACTAATACTGCTTATCTCATTTGTTCAGTATCACAAAGTTGCATCACAAAGTTGCATCACGTTGATTTACACTATCATAATTAATGAAACATAAATTAAAAATTAAAAATTGAAACTGCAATAAAAAATTCTCACTTGAGAAGGGTCTCAATAACTTTTGATGGCCGGGCAAAGATGAACTTGCTTTTGTTTCTTTGATTTATGAACATTGAATGCAGCACATGGAATGCCAAAAACCATAGCGGAACGTTTACAATTATCTGCATTCAAGTCAATTTTATTTCGAGTTAGATAAGTTAATTTTATTTCAAGTTAGATAAGTCAATTTTATTTTTGAAACAGAAAGATATTAGGTGAATGTTTACTTACATTCCTGAAGACGAGTCCTGGATAATTTTCATGAAGCAGCAACATAGTTTTCTTGCTAACACAAAGTATTTCCCTCATGGCCGGTCCAGGACCAGGTGTGTTCTTCAAATCTGTAATCTGAATCATAGAGTCCACCCCACCAGGTTTGAAACTGAGCTTTTGAATACCATTTTCCATGAATTGCACCTTCCACTTCAAATACTCCTTAGATTTCTCTTTCCTCTCAAACCTTTTCTTGATCACTTCCTTGTCATTGATAGACCAATATACATTGTAACCCACCGGTCGGCCTCGCTTGTCCACGCCATTCATGTACCCCATGTTTTCAAGATCAGGACCGAAGTTTTCCTCATGAATTCCCTCTGCATTGATTTCCATTCGCCATTCCAGTGTCTTCCTGAGCATATGGAACGCATCCGAGACCTTGAAATCTTTTGCTTTCAAGAATTTCATTAGAACAACATCAGTGCCTTCATGGCCATTGCTTGGCAATAGAGGAATGCCCCAGAGAGTAATGTCTCTTAGATTTTCTTTCGCCCTATAATTTCCTCTTGAAAAGGATTTTCCATGGCTTTTCCCTAGAAGATAATTGCTGAGAATTGCATCTTCCACTCTGCATCGAAATTCAAGCAAAGCTTTCTTTCTTGAATGATTCAGATCATTTGAAGCCAGGTTTTCATCTTCTTGTGCAATGGATTCAAGAATTTCTTTTTCGGTTTCTTGATCATTGTGAGAGTCGTCATCTGCATTGGCCTTCGAGGGAAACAAGTTTTCCTCCGACATTTCCATTCTTTTCAAGATCTCCCCTGGCTAGAGTTCCGGCGGCCGGAGGTGTTACTCGCCGGTAACCCAAAACCCAGTGGTGGTAAGATTGTTTGGGCAGGGAGAGAAAGTGTCCACCAATGATTTTTCTACCTTACTCTTCTTCTAGAAGGGCAATGAATTGGTGGTTTCCAAAGATAGCTTGGTTATGGCCAGCTAATGTGAGTTTTCAAATTCCAACGGTGGGTTTTGGTGGTGCCAAGTCTGGGAATGACAAAAAGGGAATTAAATTACTGTTCTGAAGGAAAAAAAAATCAAGTGTTTAACTGATGATCTGGCAGGTGAATTTGCTGCGGCTATCTTAGATTTTTGTGTTCCAATTTTGATAACTCTTTTAACGCTAGGTTCAAGTCTTCTTAAATACCTTAGTTTTAATATAAATGACGTGCTTTTAACTGGAATGAGGAGAGGAATAATCGAGGTGTGCAATTGATCTAAACACTTCTAACTGTTGAACTAAAAACAAAAAATCAAAATTAAGCTCATAAATTATGTTTTGTGTTAATTTAGTCCATAAACTATATCATTTATGTCAATGTAAGCCTTTCGTCTAAATTCGCATAATTGCATCACATGAGTTGGGAATTAAGGTATAATTTAAGAGTCTAGACTAAATTTTTCGTGAATATTTTAGTTTTAATGTAAATGACGTGCTTTTGATTGGACAAAGGAGGGGGATAGTCAAGGTGGGCAGTTGATCTAAACACTCACAACCGTTGAACTAAAAAAAAAAATCAAAATTAAGCTCATAAATTATGTTTTGTGTTAATTTAGTCCCTAAACTATACCATTTATGTCAATGTGAGCCTTTTGTCTAAATTTGCATAATTGTATCACGTGAGTTGGGGATTAAAGTATAGTTTAAGAGTCACGTGTTACACACGCATGGAATTCCGTTAAACTCAACGACGAATTTGAATGAAAATGTCATATTGACACAAATATTATAGCTCAGGGGCTTAATTGACATAAATGATATAATTTATTGACCAAATAAATAGTTAACTCTAATTTCAATCCCATGCTTCAATCAATTTAATTCAATGATTACAATTCATCATATCAGCAGGTAAAATTAATAAATTAGGTACAAAAAATATTTTTTAGTGTACATAGAAACGAAAACATTTTGAATGTTCGGATTGAAAAAAAATAAAATTTTAAATCCTTCACTATTTTGAATGACAATCACAAATGATACAAGAAAAAGGACCAACCATGAAGACGAAACAACACTTTGAGATGCAAATGAAATAATTAAAAGGGTTACCATAAAATTAATAAATTATCCAAAAATATAACATGTATGCAAATGATCTTCCATGAAAAAAGACTGCGGGTCATGTTTTATTTTTTACCATGGTTATCTGTGTGTCTGAAGGCACAATATAATGTAAATAATTTTGAAAGCAATGTTGATAACCGTTGAATAAATCTATTTGAAACCGTCGAATAAACTTATTAAAGACTTCTTTGTTTTATATTTTTTATTTTAACTTATATTTGATAGATTTTCTTAGACCAAGGAATCTAGTAGGGATGCAACTCGAATGGGTTGGACAATCAACCCTAATCCAACCCTAAGTATATAATTTTTAACCCTAACCCTAACCCTACCTCGGGTTGGGGAACTCAACCTGAGCACTGTCCGAGTTTAATTCGGGCGGGTTAGGATTGAATTCGGGTTGATGATTTTGGGCAGATTTCGGGTTATTTTACGAGTTCAATTTGGGTAGAGCCCAAAATAGACTTGTTGTTTTATACTAATACATATATTACATAATGTTCACCTAAATTAACAACCAATAATTTCAACTAAGTTTTTAATAAAAGAGGCTGAGAGAACAAGAGAGGCAAAGAGAACGAGAAAACAAAGAACAATAGAACAAAAATAAAAAATCAGTGTTAATGCTTTAAATATATATAATTTTTTTTTAATTTGTCGGGTTCGGGTTGAATTCGGGTTCACGAGGCCTTAACCCGAGCCCAACCCAAATTGAATTCGAGTTAAAGTTTTTTGACCCAACCTCAACCCAATTATTAAAAACTCTTGCCCAAGCCCTAATTTTTTTGAGTTGGACTCGAATTGAAATCGAGTTGTCCAACCGAAGTTGTACTCCTAGAATCTAGTGATCCCCATAAAATCCACAAAACCCGGAGATATACCATTTGGGCCTTGGGCTGGCCATAAGTGGACTTTAGATAAGGCCAGAGAGGCCCGTTGATAACGGCCCGTAAAGTAGAGGAGTCCTAAAAGGTTAGAGAGTGAGAAGAGAGAGATATGTAAGTGCACTCTGGTGACGACAACCCACCAACTCTGCAATGGCTTCCCTCTCGACCTGGGTCCGATACATAGCCCACAAATTCGAATACTCAGTCTCTCTCGGCTGGAAGGTCCATCACAATATCTCTCTCTTCTCTCTGTCTCTCTCTCTCTCTACACATGTAGTGTTTTTGTATTTTTGTATTGTGAGTTTTTTTTGTTTGTTTGATGTTGCTCTCACGATTGCGGCGTGTTCACACGATTAATGGTTGCATTTGTTTGGGCTTTGTTGTTTCATTCTGTTACTTGGTATAATGTGTTGTGTTTATTTTCTGGGATTGCTGGATTTTTCCTTGTACAAGTTTTGTAAATTTTCTTTTCCTTTTGAATAACTTTAATGATGTGGTTGGTATGAGGTCTTGGAATTGGACCTGAAGGAAAATCAATAATTGCCTGTAAAATTCATTTCGGAGGCCCGAATTCTATTCTATTGTTCTCAGAATACTTTCTGGGGGCGGAAAATATGGAGTGGCTAGAGATTTTTAGTTTGTTGAAAGATTAAAATTGCTTGAACAGAAAGAAAATACATGTATGTAGGAAAGCTTATGATTTTTTTTCATATGGGTTCTTGAGTTTTGATCTTTCACAAGCTTGTAAATAAGACCATGGTGTAAAACAGAAATGTTGAAAGATTAAAATTGCTTGAACCGAAAGAAAATAAATGTAGAAAAGCTATTATTTTTTATATGGGTTCTTGATCTTTGATCTTTCACAAGCTCGTAAATACGACCATGGTGTAAAATAGAATCCCTTAAGCAGCAGTAATTCCTTGCCCTTTCCCAATTTGTGCACTTCATGAGTATCTTCCTCTGGCTGCAGAGTAGCAAATTGATTAGAAGCTGAAGCATAGTTATCAAATCGAGATTCTTATTTGGAATCAAAATTCTAAATTTAAGAATCATGAATCGTAAAATTCAACACAAAATTCGAAAAAATATAAAAAAAATCTATATATTTAAAATAAGCAAGATATTAAATATTAAACATTATTGTATTTTAAAAATAAACAATTAAATGTATTCACTTGGAACAAGAATAGGAAATGACCATAATGAAATATCTATTGTCTTCCCAATACCAATGAANAAAAAAAAAAAAAAAAAGAGGTTGTGGTGGACTGGTGGGTAAGTCGGTGGTGGGTACTTTAAGTCATTACATCCACAAAGAAAAGAAACCAAACCAAAAAAATAAAAAAGAGGCAATGGACTTACCCTAGGAGACGAGACCAAGACGATTGAGTGACGGAGAACAAGAGATCGATTGAGTCGTCTTTGATCGTCTGAAGAAGCAACGATCACAGCGATCAAAAGAGAGCACAGATCTGGTCAAGTTTTTGAGCAAGGGCTAAAATTTTTGGAAGATCTAGAAAACTTTTGAAAGATAACACAGATCTGATCACATGTGAGTTTTTATTTGAAAGATTTTCGAGATCGAAACATGGATTTGAATGAAGGATGAAAAATGAGAGAAATTGATTGAATTTGGGGCTGAAATTAATTTTTGGGGCTCAAATTTGGGTTTTATACTCAAATTTTCGATTTGTAACAAGTCAAAGCGATCGTTACGAGCGTTACGGAATGGTAATGGCCATTATGGCTGTGAATTTCATTCTCCCCGTTATAGCGGACCATAACTGAATCAGAGTAAGTCGTTACTGTTACGTAACGGCCGTTACGCACCGTAACGGTCGATTTTCAAAACCCTGGTCTAGGCATAAGACTTTAAGGGCTCGTTTGGTTGTCGTATTAAAAATGGATAAATTGGATAAAGTAATACAACTTAATACAATATAGATGAATAAAATTCAAGATTAAAATATTGTATTAGAATAATACGTAATTTTATCTAGTGTTAGGTAATAGACAACATAAACATTGAATAGTAGTTATTTAATACAATCGATTGTTTGGTTAGGAAGTTATTTCTTCGTATTAATGTTAAAATAACAAAAATAATATCAATCAGTGTTTGTTATATTGATGACAACTTGATTTTTTCAACTAGAGTGTTTTAATAGTAAATGTGTAGAATAATACGTTTAAGTTGAATTATAATATCACCTCTATTAATGGTATTAAAATATTTTCATAATATATGTCTATCGTATGAAAAAAATATATGATAAATATACGTTTTTAAAATTAGTACAGTATCAAATTTACTTACCAAATAAAGTATTATGATCGATTGAATAAATAATATTATAATCTAATATTTAATTCACTTATAATACATCTATCAAATAAGCCATAAGAGTTTAAAGGACAGCTGCCTAAAATATTTTGATTGTTAGATCCAAACTAATAGCTAAAAAAAAACTTAATGACAAAATTACCTTCTTTTTTTTTAACGTTTTTCTATATCCCACTCGGTCAGTTCTCCATCTCTCTCTCTCTCTCTCTCTCAGTTGTTATTGTAGTGAAAGAAATTGAAGTATTAAAGAGCTGTGATGCTGACAACGCAAAGTTGGAGAAACTGGCAGGGTGGGAAACGATAGCCCAACTGATGAAGTGAATGATTGTTGTGTCGTTTTCTTGTGTTTGTGTATGTATCCGTTTGTTTTAGAACTACATTAATTGTCCTACTATTTGTACATGTCTCTGGATATTTTGGAAGCTGAAGATGTGTCCTGGTATTCTAGTTATTGGGTCAATGAAGCTTGTACTTTGTGCTTGATAATTTGAATTATTTTCTCTCCACCCCCCCTCTCATTGCTCTCATTTCTGCACTTTAAGGAAGAGTTTCTTTNATAAAGGCAGGCTACATTATTTGCTTTTAGCGGTCCATGCTAGTGCTGAGATTAGTTCTTAGGTAACGCCTGATCTGAATTATGGCATAAAGATTTGTGAATATACATGTATGATGTGTATGATTCCATGTGATTCCATATATGATCATAGTTTTAAAATATGTGAAAAAAGTAGTTATAAATTGATTCCATGTCGGCTTCCCTTTTGTATGATCATTGTAAATTGATTCCATATATGATCATTATAACTTGTGTATCCTCAAGACCTTGATATGCATCCCCAAAAGCCTTTTGAATATATCCATCAGGTGGTGCTGACAGCGGCCACAGCTGCATCAGTGTGTGTCTTTGTATGTGTGTCTTCATTTTCACAATACTAGGGGTAACCCATTTCTGAAGGCATGGTGCAACATAAGTGAGAAGTGGTGGACTTGGGGGGAGAAANTCATTATCACAATACTAGGGGTAACCCATTTCTTAAGGTATGGTGCAACATAAGTGAGAAGTGGTGGACTTGGGGGGAGAAATTCAATGTAAATGNTTGTATGTGTGTCTTCATTTTCACAATACTAGGGGTAACCCATTTCTGAAGGCATGGTGCAACATAAGTGAGAAGTGGTGGACTTGGGGGGAGAAATTCAATGTAAATGGTTTTGAGACGGATGTTGGTGACCGTTGAATGAGTCTATTTGAGACCGTCAGATGAACTTATTGAAGTCTACACTGTTTTATATTATAAATCTTGACTGTTTGTATATGTTTTTCTAATAGGCATGTTTTTGTTGGAGATGTTGTGGTCATGAAGAACCCTGAAAACTCGGATGATTATCTGGTTCGAAGATTAGCTGCCATGGAAGGGTGTGAACTGGGGTCTACTGATGAGAAAGATGAGCCTTTTGTTCTTGAGAAGGATCAGTGCTGGGTGTTGACCGACAATGAAAATCTGAAACCGAAGGTATATGCCATTTGCTTGTTTAGATTTTGGATAACTTCTTCATATGTAATAATTGGTGCTTCTCTGTTTCGTGGAGTTTTATTTATGATTTGGAGTTTCAAGAAAGCAAAAATGATGAAGTGATTAGTATGTCTTGAACATATATACCTCCATGCATGAAATTTATGCGTTCCGTATCTTGTATACACATCAATTTTCTTGAGTGTGGAATCTCAACGATATTTGTCTTTTGCCATCGTAGGAAGCCAGTGACAGCCGCACATTTGGTCCTGTTTCCATAACAGACATAGTTGGCAGAGTCATATATTGCCTTAGGACAGCTGTGGATCATGGTCCTGTGCAAAACAGGTAGCTGCTTAAATTCAAACAACATAACTCATTACTACTGTATTTTAGCAAGAGTTGTGGTGATGATTGAAGGTCATGTCACTTTGCCAGTTATTTCAGCATGCAGAAGGATTCACCTGTGTTGCAAATTGAATTGGATGTCAATGAGATGGCCAATAGTCACAAACCATAGATGATGGCGATAAAGCAAAAGCTCTAACTTGATTGCTTTGTATGTGCTTCATGTGTCACTCATTTTCATGTCGGACCTCTTGTGGGCCTTTTTGCGTACACGAGAAAAATAGGAGTCCCAAATCTTCCAGGAGATCGTCTGTTCTGAAATGGTGGCAAATTTTTTGTTTTCTTTGTTCAGGTGTGGTGATCTTTTGTTGGGTCTCTCTCTCCCTCTCTGCAACTTATTCTTGGTCCTGTATCGGATTTTGAGTCTTAGGGATGTAATTGAACTTGCTTTGAGAGAATGTTGTAGTTTCAAAGATGTGAATAGATAGCATCAAGTGACCACTGAAGTTAAGGATGCTTATCTGGGGTACTAATTTTCATTGATAGAAAATTAGATTTGGTAAAAAAAAATTTGGGTACATTGGAAAGGTAAAAATAGTTAAACAGAATTCCTACTGAAAGCTACACCAGCCAGATCTGCATTAATCTGATTTCCTATGTGGGTTGGGGGTTGTTCCAACCCAACTAATCCAATTTGTTGCTGAACTCCCATTTTCGCCAACGCATCTTTACATTGGTTTCCTTCTCTTAGGCAGTGGATGATTGGGATACCACTTGTTCCATCAGCTGCTTACTGGTTGCGGTGAGGCCCTGTTCGGGTTGGTTTCTTCTTGGGGACTATTGAGGAGTCTTGCTGTCTCTAGAGAGTCTGTCTGCACTACCACATGGCTGATCCTCCTGCTCTGTATTGTCTCCATTCCTCTTGAGTATGGCCCAGAGTTCAGCTTGAATGCTTCTTGTATTATCATTCAATCTTCCATAAAATCCAAGTAGCGATTGGCCTTGGTCATTCCTGATGATTCCTCCCACTCCTGGGGGGCCTGGGTTCCCTTTCGAACGTCCATCAAGTTCCAATCTGCAGGTGGAAACAATCAATTAATCTTTCTGGTTGGTTTCTCTGGGTATGTTAGGAGTGGCCCATAAAAGTCATTGAAGGAGTCAAAAGCCAATAGCCAGGCTTCCCTGGCCACTAACTTATAATTGGTCCGGATGGCATCAATGCTCTCTCTATTTCTATCCTTCCACACTTGGTAAAACTTCAACAATTCAACCACGGTATCTTTCTTAGGCATTATGTATGAAGGATAGATAGTTACATTAGATTTCTGGGTAATTTGCATGGTCTTTTTGGGCTGAGGCCCCTCGGGTCTAACCTTCTCAAGTGTTGTGTTATTATGGTGGCCAGTCCTAGACCACAATAGCGGTATAGGTGCTCGAGTTTGTTGAATTATGTGGAAACAGTGCATCAGTCGAGCATTGCTTTGAAGTTAAAGCTACCTGCATTTTATCATTCTCTGACCTTGCAATGATGGAAGGCTCACACACTTGGTTGTTCTTGTAATGTGTACTAAGGTTGAATACCATTATTATTGGGCTGAGTAAGATATTTTTTGTTAAGAGTTGAAAACAGGATTTCGAGATTACCTTAAACATATTCCCATCTGAGCTAACTTGAAGGATTTTGTCACTGCTCTCTCTCTCTCTCTCGTATGGCACATGGAGTGAGTTTAAGTACATACATAAATAGTAGCACATGCTTAGACGTTAACTCACACATGGACTTGCGATGATCTAAGCTAATGTATCTTGTATTGATTTGTCACTTGCCTAAACACAATTACGCAAACCCTCAATGATTTTTGGACTATTTTGTATAGTTAGTTATCGTTGGTAGGTGGGATAATGCGCATCGTCATCAATATTGTTCAAATTGATGTGTTATGAATCGCGTGTATTTTATTAGGGATATGTTATGAAACTAAATTATTCCAAAAATGATACAATGAAAATATAAAAATGCATTTGAAAAGATAAAAATACCCATGCTTTCTAGTCTACCATCACCATCACCATCATCACCCTCACCCTAGAGGATCACTGCCATTTAACATTCTTAAATATGTGCTTTTAGTGGAGGGTATTGTCAGGGTCGGGGTAGGGGGTGGAGGGTCTGTCAAGGTTGGGGGCGGGATTGAAGGATCCATCTCTACCACACCACCTCAATCCCCCAGCAGTCGTCCTCCACCACAATGCATGACCAAACGCCTCCGTCAACCATCCTTCACCCTTCATGAAGTGTGAACTCAAAGCGTGAGATTGGGTTGTTTAAGCTAAATGGCTAGAGGCTCGCGTCTAATTAGGGGTGACAATTTTTGATACGACACGATAACTCGATACAAAACACGATACGAATAAATGGATTTGACTTGATTAATTTTTTGACACGATCCGCGTATGACACGACTCGTCAACACGAAGTGTTAATGAGTTGTGTTCGGGTTCAACCCGTTTAACACAAATTGACCCGTCAACACGAAATTTTTAATTCGAAAGAATTGACTTGACATTTTCGTTGCATGTATGAGTTTTCATGTTTTGATGACTTGTTATTATTTCTGATGTTTAATTTGGTTGTATGACGTACAATTAACATATTTAATTAGTATTATATAAATAAAATATTAATTATTTGTAATTGTTTATCAAGTATTGACATAATTATTGTATAAAAAAGATACTATTACTCATTATTGTTGTTATTATTATTATTAAGTTAATTTTAGTTTGTAGAAAAAGTAAGAGGAGAGATTCAATTAAGTGAAAATAAAATCTTAGCGTTAAATTTTTTATTCAAAGTTTATGTAGGTCAACACGAATATGAACACGAACACGACACGAAAATAAACAGCTCAACTCGACACGACACAAATAATTAAATGAGTTGGATATGAGTTGACTAATGTTCGACACGACTAATATTTGACACGACATGAACCCGAGACAACATGATTCGATTGCCACCCCTATGTCTAATAATCCAAGTTTGCAGGTAAGCACAAAATAACAAAAAAAAAAAACACGCAAATTATAGTGATTTACCAACTTAAAAGTTTGATTAATTGACTCTAATAAAATTTTTTGCTCTTTATGAGATTTTCTATTACATGAGAAAAGAGATAGATTTATAATATATTCTCTGCCTTCACATATAGAGAAGGCTTTAATGTTATATACCTAAAGATGGGGGGGTCCATTTGTCATCATAACATGGTTCCAAATTTGTTAAAATTTCGTTGAGAGAATATTGAGATTGTTACGGACTATATTTTTTAAGTGTGACTTGTCGTGACTTTCTAAAAATAGGATGACATCATTCCAGAAGGTCAAGTTCTTGAAACCACTGGATGAACTGTTGGGCTGGAACTTGGTTGTTTGTACATCCTTCTCTGCTGAAAGAACTTGCTCGCCATTCCATTCATCGAAAATTACGTTGTTCGAGATCGAGATGTGATAAGAAAAAATCAATTTGCTGAACATGGTATCATCAACCCTCATTACCACCATTATTACAGTTTGACCAATCACCAAGTAATCGTCATAAAACAATATTTTGATGTAGTCATTTTTTCCCTCTTGGTCTACTATGGGTTGCACAATATTGATTAAAAAAAAAAAACCATCAAATTTCTCATGCTAAATAAGTGTGGAACCTTTTAGGGATGATTTAGTTGCTGAGTCTAACCTCTAGTAATTCAGAATCTCATGTTTAACACTACTTATATTTTTTAAGGATTAATCACTCTGTTTTTCAGGAGATATGTTTTAAACTTGTTTGGATTACAATAATCAATATCCGAATCCGAAAGAATAGTCAGGTACAAATCTAAATGTCCTATAACAAAAAAATAAGTAAAATAAGCCTGAGTGGTCGAATATGTGTTCAACTAACTTTCCCCAACTCTTCCCGACCTATTCATAGATTACATCATTTGAAAATTTGAAATTTTGTAAAATTTTTGATAAATTCAATGTTATTTTATTGATAATTTATCAAAGACTAATGCTATTGGGTAGCCAACATGGTCTAACGATATATTATTGCATATATCTATCTATACTATTAATAAAAATACATAAATATGAAAAAAAATTATTCACTATTTTATCCTTATAAAGAATTGNGATATGAGTTGACTAATGTTCGACACGACTAATATTTGACACGACATGAACCCGAGACAACATGATTCGATTGCCACCCCTATGTCTAATAATCCAAGTTTGCAGGTAAGCACAAAATAACAAAAAAAAANTGTTTAAATTTTCAAATTATCCTCTAACACATGTTCTAATTATCTATTCTCTATGTATAAATATTAATATCTATAAAAAATTTAAATTAATTATATTACCCTTAAAAAATATACGCATCATTATAGTAAGCAGTATATTTTTTTCTAATTAACCTAACTAATTCTTAACTATAGTAATGTTCCAATATTATTAGGATATTGATAATTATTTTTATTTTAATTAATTAATTATAAGTAGAATCATAATCAAATAAATTTCAAAAAAAAAATTAATTTTTCAAACATCACTAAAAAAATCACTTTCAATCCCAAATTTTTTAAAAATAGAACTTTAATTATTATTATTATTTATTAATTTTCTTATAGTTAGACTAATGAATCATCAGGACAGACAATGTTTTCATAATTGTANTGACTCTAATAAAATTTTTTGCTCTTTATGAGATTTTCTATTACATGAGAAAAGAGATAGATTTATAATATATTCTCTGCCTTCACATATAGAGAAGGCTTTAATGTTATATACCTAAAGATGGGGGGGTCCATTTGTCATCATAACATGGTTCCAAATTTGTTAAAATTTCGTTGAGAGAATATTGAGATTGTTACGGACTATATTTTTTAAGTGTGACTTGTCGTGACTTTCTAAAAATAGGATGACATCATTCCAGAAGGTCAAGTTCTTGAAACCACTGGATGAACTGTTGGGCTGGAACTTGGTTGTTTGTACATCCTTCTCTGCTGAAAGAACTTGCTCGCCATTCCATTCATCGAAAATTACGTTGTTCGAGATCGAGATGTGATAAGAAAAAATCAATTTGCTGAACATGGTATCATCAACCCTCATTACCACCATTAT